AAATTGTTGAAGAGAATGTTATTGTTCCTGGGGCAGTTGTGGAAGGTGATGTTGTTGTGGACGGAATTATTGAAGAAAAGGCTTTTGTTGTTGTTGTAGCTTTTGTAGCCTAAAAAACACTAAAAGAAATACTAAAAGATAGGAATAATAAAAATTAATATTGTTTATCAAGTGTGGCTAAGTTATTGCAACGAAAGATATGCTATAAGTGAAGACTGCAAATACTTGCAGTTTTTGAAATGTCAACTCTAATTGTAATTAACAAAAAAATAAAATTTCGACCTGCAGAAAGTTACATAAAAGCATAACATAAATAAATTTAATACCTTTTTAGAGGACGACGTTAAAACAATAATGAAGAGGAAAATGATGCTTTTCGTCATTTTAATCGCTTAAATCGATTGATGGAATTAAGCTAAAAAAAAAAAATCAGTGCACTACAAATTAAAACGTTAATTCCTGCATTTTTTGAAATATCGACACTAATTAACAATATTTAAGCAATGTTTAAACGCTTATTAGCAGTTAGTGAAATCAGTAACACAAGTGTGTCAATTTCATTAGACTAGACACTAGGGACCAGCAATGGACGATCTTGAATTCCTCCCTCGATTTTCATGATCCCAAGAATTCTTCCCATAGCCATCTATTATTTCTAAAAGTTTTCCAGTTTCCCCCTTTATTATGGTCTGTTGAAAAATTATGCACAAATTTCAACGGAAATGCATTACCATGACCGATCACTTTGTCTTATATTACCAGTATTTCATTCTGCTCCCACAAAATTTTCCAATTGTATTGGATTGAATTCAATTGAATGTATTGTATGCATTTCTCATCCAAAATTTGAGGAAAACATGCATTGCTCTCCGAAAACTCACCCTACCATTGTTGTTTTTGTTTAAAATGGATGAATTTTGTTAAAAGAATTGTTTGTTTCCTTATTTTGTAAAATCAGTGAAAAAAAAACCCCGCCTGATTGTATAATAAAATTTTGCTAATATTGAAAAATGTCTTTTACCCTTATTCAATGCTTTTGTTTCTTTCTTTTCTTTGAAGGTATTAGTGAAAAAAGGTAATTGTTTATGGATCACTTATTATTCTGGTTTATTTTAATGATTAATGTTTTATTGGTAGATGGAATATGTACGTTAATTTTTGAAACAAAATTTTGCATGAATGTAGCAACATCAGCATTATTACTTTTTTTTCTATCAGTTTTGATTGATAGATAAAACAATCTCTTTCCTCAACGTTTTCTTCCCAGTTCCTCACTACAACGACGTGGTGCTTTGTTACTCTTGGAAGCAAGACAAATCTTTTTGATAATGCGGTATGATAATGATAATATTGATTCCTGAAAGAAGGAGGGAATTACTTCTTACGTTATCACCTTAATTCCGTAAATCAATGCTTATGCATGTTTATTTTGTATTTTGTAACTAGGATCCGAAAAGTAAGATCCCAAAATTAATACTTTAAGCAGCCGGATGATTCTGTTTAATATGGCAGTGGATGAGGATTTGCATATCGATAAAGCAATTTCCTCTTTCTCCTGGCTACTACTCCCAAGGAATTCCAAGTCCCAATCTTTGTGCTTATAGAAATCATTTGTATATATTTCAATTACTATTGAGCTGTTCCGAGTAATCATTACACTGATATCAAATCAATTTAGTTCTCTAAAGAATAATATGTTCAATGGTGGGTACAAGCAAAATATTGGCAAAGAGTTACGGTACCAAAGTTACGGTACCAACGGATGTGTTAGGGCAGAGCGCAGAGCAGTATAAATTTAATATTACGTACTAATTAATTGTCTGCAAAAAGTTATAGTTCATTTAAGATTGGATGTTGTGTGAAAGATTGTATTGTTTCATCGCATATTTAATATGTAATGTAATTGAATATAACAATTAAAACATTCTTATTCTTTGGGGAAATTTCAAACAGTTTTGGCGTCTTGTTCTTTTTCACAATTTTCAATTATTTTTAACAAATGTAAAATCAGTTTCAAAGTAATTACTGTACTCATTTATTGGGTTCATTTTGTGCACGGAATAGTTATACTCAAAAATGTAAACAGAAACTACAATGGGAATAAGAGAAAGATATTATGATAGTTAATGTTCAAAGGTATAACCACATAATGAATACTTCCCTCTTGACCATCAATGACCATCTCATCAAATGCTTCATGTTTTCGATTGCATCAGACACTATGCTATCAGCTAGCATGAACTGAAAGTATCAATTAGCATTTATTGATCTCAACTATTGTAATAACAGTTTTCCACTCTCAACAAACGGTAAAGTCATGTCGAAAATTCCTTGATTGTGATAATAACGCACTAAAGACGAATACAGTAATGACATGTAGAAAATTGCATTTTCAGGAATCATCAGATTCCGTAAGGAATGTATAAACTTTCTCATCTTAAATTTCATTTCTGATCCCAATATTATCAAATTAAAAAGTAAGTGAAGGAATTACTGGGATGCTCATGAAAGTTATTAATTACGTATTTTGTCATAGAATCTATGATGATAAGCAAATGTAGATAAGGTAATTTATTCAACTACTAATACCTGCGATGCAGGTTTACGTAAAAGTTAATGGAATATTACGATGACTGCACAAAATGATCATCTCTGAAATGTTCTTCAGTGCAAAATTTGACGCCGAAATCATAATAAATTAAGCTAAAATTCTAGGAAACAAAGAGAAAAAGCATTTATTTTATTATATTATTATTATTCAGAGTAGTCCAAAATGTAATAAAAATTAAAAAAAGCAAAAAATTTTTGGTATTGAAAACTCATTGTTTAAAATAGCATCTGCTAAAAATACAACCAAATCTAGCAAAAAATAGCGTTGGAGTTGAAGAAAACAAAGAAATATGCATTCAAGCACGAATACCAATACAGTAGTGGATGGAATTCGCAATTGTTGTTTGTGAAATGCTAAAAATTCTTCCCGTCATTGATCGAAACTTCACTTTTCCTCCATCATAAAGTTTTGAGGCTGATCAAATTTTTGAACGAGATTAGCTAGATCTTCTTCATTCTCACTTTATCAGCAAGTATACTGATTGCTAGTTTAGCTTCCCCTTGTCACCATCAACAGGACGAACGAGGAATTCCAGTCACTTAACTTTCGTATAGTATCATACCAGATGTTTTTGCATGTATAAAAGTGATCCATGACTTAACACACCACTTATTTCATTAATTGATGAGTTTATTTCAATTTTAGATCCAAACATTATAGTTTCACAACTGGATCAAAATTCATATATTCGATAGTAAAATGAAACAAACAGGAAAATTATCGCTTGAAAAAAATAAGTAAATAAGCAGAAGGAGTATGAAATACTACGAATACAGTTTCAAAGAAATAATGGTTGTAATGAATTGGATTTCTAATAGTGTAGCAGCATTAAAATGTGGATTTATACAAATAAAATTATTTAAGTTAATTAATTAATTGCACGTTACAAGTAACTTGCTAGAATTTGACGAATTATATTTTAGTACGTATGTCTAAATTAACACTTAACAACTAGAATATCATTAGCATATATAGAATACACGACGAAAATTTGATGAACAAATAACTTACGCATATTATTAATGAGATATTTAAATACAATGGCACGAAAATTACATGTTATTCTAGGTCAACTGTCTAATTTATCTAAGACATAAGTGACGCAATTTTTAGAGTTGTAATGATTCCGAAATTAAAGGTTATTATGTGTTCTAAAGGAATGATCGATTCTTCATATGCTGTTATTTCCCGGTGGTTTTTTCCATCGTTTTCTACGCCCTCTCTTTGATCTTTATAAAATATGGCTGGTTCAGTCACCTTTTTGATTGTTTATTCTTTTATTTCAAACATACTTTTTTCTTTTGACAGAAATTTCCATCTTTTGTTTAATTTATCGTTTGATTAACCTCATCGTTGTTGCAATTACATCATCGTTTGTGCGATCTTGTCGCAAAGTAGTAGCCTGCATGTCCTAATGAGGTTGCGAGCTGGTGCTGGCGGTAGCATATACCACCGATATGGTCTCCCTGACAGATCTCAGCTTAAGGGTTAGATAAAGTTTGCCTACGAGTAGGATGAGCTCATCAACTTCCCAATAATCAGTCTAGAAGAGGGATTCGAGCAGATTGGGTCCGTTCAGAACCTTATGAAGTAAAAATACTGCATGCATGAAAAGGGTACATTCACATTTGTAGTGTTTACAAAAAGCACTCAAATCTTCGTTCTCCAAGCTTAGTCATGATGATGTTCGATATAAATCATATGAAATTTTAATTAACTACAAGATGCAAACTGATTATCAAATATGTATGCGATAGAAAACAGATTCTACCTTCAGTAAATGACATGTTCAAATCGATAGAAAAGATGAATGGAATTCGAAAAATTTCTGATAACATTCATTATGTTTGTCTAAAATCTTTAGAAGCGACATACTACCTACCTTTATGCTATTTTTAAATCTTTTATTAAATAGTAATAATATTTTGAAAATAATTTTTGAACAAATCTCAAAGTTATCAGACGATCAATTTACTAAATTTCATCTCTGCTGCATTCTTCTTCGTTATTTTTTTTTTTTTTTGCTTCATCGATCGACAGGATCATTTTTCAATTCTTGATGGAGTTATATGAAGGATATGAGAATTTAGTGAGATTGAAATGGAAAAAGAAATTCGGCTAGACAAATTCTAACATCAATTAATCAGCTGCATATTTTTTGCATAATTATAAAATCGAAAGATTTACTGTCTAAAATGATGACATTTTTCAGGATAATTTTGCATCATTTTTAAAACAATTTAAGTTTCTGAACAGAAATTTCATTGTTTTTTTCGAAAAATTTCACAGGATAAAACAATATATTGAACAGTGAATGAAACATTTTTTTTTCTTCATAATTATTTTTAAATGGATGTATTCAAAACAAATTGAGTTATTCAAAAGGAGAAGGAACAGAACTTATATTTCAGTTTATAAAATCAATTAAATAAGCTATTCTTCATGCAGTTCATCAACGTCTTGTCACATCTAAAAAAAAATTAAATTAAATATTCATTGAAAAGGTGAAATGTGCGACACCTCAATTTAATTAAAATTTTAAATTAAGATATTGGAACATTAATTCCGTCCACTTATATATATATATATATAATTTCATTCATTTCTTGAAGTCCCTTTTAAAAAAGTTAATTAATTTCAATTCATTTTTGTTTTAAATCATTTTTTCTGCAATCTTTCTAACACTCAATTTTAAGCAATGCATATTGTATTAAGACTTTCATGCTAGAATTCTAGATAACATTTTTTCTCTTTTGAATAGTTGATGATCAAAAGAAATTACTCAATACAGTTTTTTTTACTCGTAATATTAATTTTGAAGATATGCATCAAATAAAATTTGATATAAATCCCAAGTTTTCTCTTTTAAATATTTATGGCAATGTTTAGTAGATAATTTGCTGGGAAATTTGTCTTTGAACTGAAAAAGATGCCTAACACTGGGCAAGATGAAATTCGTTTACCCTACAACGAAGTTTAAAACAAGATTTTCAGCGATTTTAACTGATTACAGTTAAACAAGTAAATAATCTAAAAAGTTTGGCAACATTTTTTTTTTAATTCATTTAAAATTATCTAACTAATCCTTAAATAATGTAATGTCGAAATAATATGCCAAAACAATCCAAGCATTTAATTGCAGTTTAATTTTGTGCTTTTGTTTAATTATGTTTAATAAATAACTACAAAATAATTAGATTCGATAAGATTAAAATTCTCAAACATTTCAAATTTCATTGATGAATAACCGTAAAAATTAATGCATAATAAATTTTCTAACTTACGTTTTACAAACGCATTTTGCACCACGTAATACTGTTACAGTACGAATCACCGGATCAGCATCATCATCACATTCTGTCAGTGTTATCTTTTCGAATTTGCCACCTTCCGGAACACATACTTCACTTTTTTGACTTCGATGAGGGAACTCATGAGTTCCGTACTGAAACTATAATTGAAAATCCTCTTCGCCAATAATTTACTTAACCATAATCGTTGAAAAAAAGTTACCATATCTGCGAATTTATTTTTGGTTACATTCAGTAAAACAAGTGAAAAATTGAGACATTCAAGATTTAACAGAAAAGAAAAATCATTTGGCAATTCTCAGAATCAAAAAAAATTGCAAATAAACCTCATAGGTGGGACAAAATCCTCGGCAAACTGGAATTGTTAAATTAATCCGGCAGGTTTTTCCATTTTTATCTGTTCGAATCAGTGGATTCATACCTGGCGCACGTATCATCTTCAGAAAGCACACATTATGTTTCTTTTTTTCTGTTTCTTGTACCCTTTTATTATGCTAAATGGAATTACTTTCCTCAATTTTATTCGTATGATTAATTCATTGTTTATTTGGATTCTAATCTTACATAATTCTAATTACATACTATCATATATTGATTGAATTTCTAATCTTTTGTTATTAATTCAACGCGTGGTTTAATTTCCAATTTCACATAAATTAAAATCAATTTTTCAAATTCTTCCAGAAAAAAAAATTCTATCAAAAAAAGAAAAAAGGAAAATGAAAACACACAGTTGATGATGAGAAAGCAGTTGATGTAAAAATGATTGCTATCAAACAAATGACGCTTTGTGATGAAACCATTTTTCAATGATGGCACATTGGTTAGTAAAAAAGTTAAGCATTCGTTTAAATAGTGATTGTAAAATCTCTCAACATCATTGATCAATTTCTACCAATCATCAACTTCAACGATAACTATTCATTGATTAAAAATTGTTTTTGATATTTCCATTTTATGTTAATCCTTTTTTGCTATTGTTAAATCAGAAGAAAAAATTAATCCTTAATTTCCTCAATTTTAACATATTGAAGCTTAATTAACCATTGATATACTGATTATTGCGAAAAAAAAAGAACAAAATGAATGTTTTTATTTACCAAAAAATACTGGAAAACGATCAATAATAATAATATATATTTTTTTTTAAAAAAAACAAGTCAGAGAAAAGACAAATCATCAGTTAAAAAGTTTTTTCTTAATATTAAGATATAATCTACAATAGTTAATGATACGGAATGTTTATAAAAACAAAATATTTGCTTTTTCCCATTAATTAATTAGTTCTTTGAATGGTTTCATTTATTGAAATAAATCATGCATATCTATTACAAACTTGAGCTGAAAATTAAAAATGATACATTTTAACCAAAAAAAAAGAAAATATTTGAACTTTAAAACATTTGTTTGCTTATTCCAAAAGTTGACATACTTTTATCATCATTTGTAAAAGTCGTATTACAAACTGTTATAATTCCATCGTATCTAGGCTATAGCTGAAAATATCAGGAATTGCAGGAAACATGTTTATACACCAGGGGACAAAATGCGCTCTTGATAATTGCTAATATTTTACAAAAATGTACAAAATGCGCTTTTGATAATTGCAAATATTTTCAATTGCATCATTTATTTAATACTAAACATTTAAACTGGCAATGTAAACTATGCGGAGTTTTTTGGAAACTTTAAAAAATTTCAATTGTAATCTTTCCGAATATTAAATTCTTATACTTTCAGAATATTCAAAACATTCTTCTAAAAAAAGAAAAAGAAAAAAAAAGCGTAATTAATGATAAAAACTTAACTTTTTTTTCCAGACGACTTGACCTATATTCAATTTTGAATTTTCATAATTTCATGTAATTCGTTTCCTTCATTCGTTATAATTTAACTTATGTATGACTTCACTTCATAACTGAAATGAAGACAAAACTCTTCCATAAATAGTTTTATCAATCTTTTTGATAACAAAATTGTTAATATAGAATGAGAAATGCTTAACAATCATATAATCGGCAAAAAAATATTACAGAAAGTTCTAACAAGATTGTTGCCAAGCAATACTTCAAATGTTTTAAAAATCAGCCAAGAACTTTTAAATATTAAATATTTTATTGAAATACTTTAATTGGATGGAAACCTCGTAGATAATATAAATTAATGATAAAACTTTAATTCCTAAACAAATAATATTATTATAATTACAATTATAATAATAATAATAATAACAATAATAATAATTAATAATAATAATAATAATAATAATAATAATGATAATAATAATAATAATAATAATAATGATAATAATAATAATAATAATAATAATAGTAATAGTAATAATAATAATAATAATAATAATAATAATAATAATAATAATAATAATAATAATAATAATAATAATAATAATAATAATAATAATAATAATAATAATAAT